GGAAACAATTTTTTGAATTAAGAGGTATTGTATCACATGTAGCAGAGTCCTTCGGAAAGTAATACTTGCTTTTCTAGTCAAATTGCTGACGTTTTATGGAATCCATTGCGTCATTACTCTGTAAGTCCACCACTGTTCCACGTGCTGAGCCACGTGCATCCACTGGTCACTCGTAACTCATTTAAATTTGTAAACAGAAAATTCGTTTATAGTGGATCAGAAAATAACATTAAAACAAATTACAAAAAATGGGTGTGGGGATATTGAATGGATTGAAGTGGTTCCAGGAAGGTTGATTGGTGTGTTCTTGTAAACATTATAATAAATCTGTGGGTTGCATAAAAGGCAGGGAATTTCTTGACCAGCCAAGCGACTTTCAGGAAGGATTCTGTTGAATTTAGTTGGTTAATTAGGTAGTATTACGTTTTTCACAGTGGTTTCTTCACACTTGGTGATTACAATAAATATGATGAGTGTTCGCTGTCGATCACTTCACCCCGGTTATGAGATTACGGTGGCTATGAAATATCAGCGAACCAGTGACTACATAAGTAACTCAGTTTACTGTTTTTATTGTATTGTTCGAGAAATTTTCACATTTATTTCATGTGGTTTGTTATTTGAAGAAGACTTCAGTAGCTATTTACCTTCGTACTGATTTAACTGGAACTTGGTTTATGATTAAAATTGTGTTTTGTTGTACTGCAGTATACTTTAATAGAATCTTCGTTTCAGGTTGTGGATGCAGGTAGTGATGATAGCCTGTCCAATGATGATGATTCGACCAGGAAGAGGCGTGACATTCTCACGCGGAGACCGTCATATAGGAAGATTTTGAATGACCTTGGAGGAGGCGAAATAGCAGGTAACATTACAGCATGTAAATGGATGGTTACTTATTCTTGTTTTAGAGGCTGTTGGAAGGTTATCTAATGTGTGTTATGTTTTTCAAAATCAAAATGGGCTATCTAAGCCACTTATAAATTATAGTATTCTCGTAGCTAGGCGTCATACCACCCTAATCGAGGCTCGATTCTCTTTATCAATGTGTAAATTTCTGTGGCGTAACATTTAGATAGCATTTTCTCCACCATTTAATAATTAATCTTGTACCTATAAGTTTCATGAATGTTATGTCATATATTGTCCGTTGTACATTGCTTCTGTGTAGAAGTTTTTGCGAATTTCGCGTGAAACGATAATAACGCTCGCAAAAGAGAGTGGTTTTCTTTCGTTTCTAATAAACATTGTGGTTGTAAGTTGATTTATGAAGATTTAAAACCTGCTACAAGTGATTAAGGATTGAATTAGAAAAATTCTGTTTTTCACTTCAATACTTGTGAGTGTAGTGCATTTTTATTTTATTGTATGTATGTTTGTTCGTCTTTCTGTGTTATTAAGATGCTAGAATTTATTGCAGAGGGGGAACCACATAATGTGTTTATTCATAAAAGGCATCTAATTTTTTCTTTGAGCTTAGAGTCCTGAAAATTATGTACCAATCGATTTAGTGACTACAGTGTTAACACCTGCAGTGTTGCCAGTTTGGTGCCTTCTTACGCATGAAATTTGGCACCCAAACTTTTTTCTGCCTTGGATTTGTTACAGGCAGTTCTGTTGAGGGTTCTATGCTCTCAGCTAATGTTCTTTTATTGGTTTTTCCTTTTTATTGTCACACGACTACTACTTAATGGCTGAACGGTTCTTGATAGGTTTCTTGAATGTCACAAATATTTAAGACTTGAGGTTCTCACAGCGGTGAGTATGAAGATTTCCGTCTTCTGGGTTGTTGCGCTGTGTAGTCTGGTTGAGGTTAACATCAACCAGACTACACAGCGCAACAACCCAGAAGACGGAAATCGTCACAACTATTGACTACAATTTTAGGCCTGCTGGCGGTTTCCTTTAGTCCTTCTATCTTATATAGTTTATCAGAATTTATTTTTCCTAGTATATTATATTGCTTTCATTCTTTTAATGTGTTCATGTAATTTATTGCTGTAGTCCAAAATTATGTATTTGCTATTATTAATCTGTTTTTCTTTCAAATGTCATTCCTCGTACTACTGAACCAGGAAGACCGTGGTCCCAGTCTTTCTTTTTTTCTCTGTTATCGTTCACACATTTGATGCATTTATATGAAGGAAGGGTACTTGTTGGTTATCGGGACACAAAACGGGAGAGTCGAATATCTGGACTTGGATTGGATGGAAAACTGCGCATGCGTATCAGTATACCCGTATACTCTGTTGTTGTTATCTGTTAGTTCGTTCAGTTATTTATTGCTATTCAGTACCATGTCAAAAATTTGGGATTTACCTAACAGTGAGGAAGATTCTGGATTCATATTTAGCTGAGATCATGTGGCAGCGTACAAAAGATAACAGCGATATTTTTAAAACGATTCTAAAATCTATAAGCGAATTTTGGCCTCCGGAGACAGGTTTTAACAACAATTAACATCTCATGCATATCCAAATAAAATATAATAATTTGTCATTTATTGAAATAAAATATAATAGCTTTCAAGTATATGTCATTTATCCACACACATTAACCTAACCTAACCTATTTTTAAAGCGATGTGTCCTGATAACCCACAAGTACCGAAAGATGTGGTCTGACCATTGCCTTATGCAGTTTTGAATATGTAAGAGTTTTATTTATAATGGGAAGGCAACAAGACATGTGCATGTTGGTTTCGTGTATCTATTGGTACTAGCTAAACACCTCTCATGTCATTTTTTAACATAAGTTATTGCATAACAGCAGATGATGACCTTTAGCCTGGTGCAAGAATGTTGTGCGTTCAGTTGTGTAGAATTGGAAAATATTCTGTAGGTGATATGTGAACAGAATCTGTCAGTAAATTGAATTATTTTGCTTTAAATATAAGAATTACCAATTATGACAGTTTTTGGAGGTCCGAGATCAGACTTACTGTTGGTTGTGGCATATATGGGCAGTCTTCTGTTTTCTTTTATAATAAAACCGGAGGATCCGAAAACCTGCTTTTATAGGATGACGTTACATGGCCATATTGCATTCTACATAATCTTACCATAATACATGATTTTAGTGCTGACATGTTACGCCAGAGGTCTGTGGGCCAAGCATTATTGGGCCCAGTGATCACTTCCCTGCGTACCTTCCTCACCTGTCGGCTCCAGAATTTTATTTGACTGAAGAAAGTTTAATTGGTTCAGTGAATTAAAAGAGGTGTTGAGGAGAAAATAATTGCGTTAATTTATTGCAGTTTGATCAGTTTTCAGGAGTATATGGCAATCTTAAGACTTTGTAGCATAGTGGTAACTATATGTACCACCTATTTTAATCTGTAACTCTTTATTTTACCCAGAGTGATCGATGAGTTACATAAGATTCTTAGAATAGACGGTGATTATTTACTTAAACAGTATTGAATAATTGATTTTTGTAATGGAGAGGGGTTATGTTTAATTGTGGTAGAAACTGAATTTTTAAATAATATTGAGATGAGCTTTGGCTTCAGAGGATTGTCTCAGGCAAATGTTATAGAATGTAGATAGTTAAAAGGAGAAAGGAAATGAAAAACAGGAAGTTTTTGTTGCAGAAAGTATTTGATGAATTATTCTGTTGTTGTGTTTTTACCTGTACGAAAATTTTTGATCTTGCGTTTGTGGGTTTGATGTCTAATTAGCTTTCAGGTTTGAGTCATCTTGATGTCCTTCCAACATTTCAGTATTCACTGTACATGCCATCTTCAGGGTAAATGTCATTGATAGGAGAAAAAATAAATATCAGGGAAGGAAAAAAGTAACCATGCAGATGGAGTAAAATGTGAGTAAAGTCTGTTGCCGTCTCTTGTTCTCCAGGACCCGGCCCATCGGATAGAACTCGTGACAGTGTAGCAACGAATCACCTACGATCTCCTTTTCCTGCGTCCCTTTCCGAAATACACGTATGAACCGTCGCGTTCTCCCTGTTTACAGCATTTGCCATGAAGTTGGCACCTGCGTTGTTTGCCCAAATTTTGGAAGGACTTTTAATAAAAAATGTTGCTCAAACCCAAAAATAGATATTTTATACCTGTACTAAAAGTTGACTAACTGTTCAGATGTTTGTTTTCAATGGAGATGAGGTGTACTCTGGACAGAAGTTAATGTTACATATATCTTTGCAGTGGGTAGAGGTGAATCCTCATCAGAAGTTGACACTAATGAGGATAGCGAGCTGTCATCTCATTCGATTCCTTCCCACTACCAGACTCATACTGCCACAGGTTGGTTCAAACATTGCTTGTCCGGTTAGCTTGCAGACAAAAAGCATAAAAGTTAAAACAGGTGGAATAAACCCTTATGTAGCTTTACATTGTTCCCTTCCTGCCGCCTACCCCCCCAGTTGACACCTGATGTTGGTTCACCACATGTTGCCAGCCACTTTGTATTACAAACTATTTGATAAATTTTGTATATCAGCGTCTGTTCTTTTAGTAGGTACTGTTGGGACTTCTTTAAAAATTTCAGTAAGAACTGTTGCCCAGAATATGAGTTAAAAAAACTCTTGCAGAATGTTTGAGCTTTTTTAGAGTAAGATGTGGGTCTTTGTGCTGGTAATTATCCAGTCCTCCCTTCGTTTTAGATAACTTGTATTTCTGTATTCTTGTTGATCATCTTGAATTATCAAACAGAATATCGTGAGTACTACATTAGAAGGGCAGAATGTCTGTGTAGTTTCATTGTCAATGCTTTGAATCTCTGTCACGCTAAGACGTAATGTGTTTTTGGCTGGCAACATTTTATTCATGCACCTGTAACTACCAGGGTGGGACGTACGGTGACAGTAACACCTTTATCGTGGGGGTGGGAATTTTGGTTTGTTGCTTCATCCTACATCCTGGCTTTATGCTGAAAGAAATATTCTTCGTGTATCTGTACCTTAGAAAATACCAGATGGTCCAGTGTTCTGTATAGTTCTGAATAATGAATTTTGGTGGAATATCTTGCCTGATTTTTTTCACATTTTGTTGAGAATAAATTTCTAAAGGTTATGGTAATACAACTTTCATACTTTGGGAAAGTTGATGTTTGTTATCGTTAAAAGGGAATATTAAATTTCATGTTGGAAAGTATTATTAGCAAAGGTTCTGAAAACTGTAAACACCAAACAAATTATATCCACGTTATTCTTGCTTGAAAGAGCACTGAACTGTTCCTTAGTGAACACCAGATGGGGTTAAGGACAAATGAATACATAAAAAGAAAATCAGCTTACCGGGTATGTAATGTTTGTCCATCCTGTATTTCCTTACCAGCTGTTTTCTCTCTCCTTATAAGCATGTACTGGCTGAATGGTTCTGTGTTAATCCAGCATATCTCTAAACGAAGGCACAGTCTCACATGTTTAGTCAAGGTTTATGAATGTGGTGGTTATTGTAGTTTTATCTGCTGTCTGACAAAATGTTGTGTTGTGCTGCAAAAACATCAGTCAGGTTCTTTTACTTAATTTAAGGAGCAGTTAATGGCGTAATTATGAAGATATTCATAATTACTTTTGAAAAAATTTAAGAGGCTGAAAGTAAAGTCAACAAAGGGAATTTGAACTGAGATGCGTCTCTTTTTTGACAGCGTCGTCCATAATGTAACTCGGTGATGGGCAAGACTGGCTGATTGCAATATTTGGATATCATTTATGGTACTTCTCTTTTTTTAGATTTAAATTTCCTTGTTCACAAAGCTTTTAATTTCAGAAAAGAAACTAAATAGATAAATGTGTAGACTTTGATGGAAATTTTAGTTTTTTGGTCCCCAGCTTATATGTTTGTGTAGGAAAGACAGGTGACGGCCACTGCAGATGTGGCTCAGTGTGTGCGTTAACATGTTGAGAAACACTGATCAGAGTTTAGAGTATCCTGTCGGATGTAATTATAAACAGTGTAGTTGTGTTTCTGGAAAATATAGAAATTCAGTCAGCATGAGTAAGTGATAGTTATGTAATAATTTTTGGACTACTGGATTTTTCTCGTGAGGCTCTCCAGCCCCCTCTCTCTTCAAAATAGACTGATGCAGTCTCTGAGTAACATAATTGCTCCTGGTTTAACTAATTCCATGCAGTCTGTTTCTTGAAAAGCTATTAGTAACTCATGTAGGTAAGAAATTGTCCAAAGATTCATTACTGTGTTTACAACAGGTCACCTGGTCCCCGTTCTGAGCCGTATTAATCCATTGCATGTAATGTCAGTTTTAAAGATCTATTTTAATGTTATCCTCCCTTCTACACTCAGGTCCATACAAGTCTTCCAAGTGGCATTTTCCTATCAGTTTTCCTTTCAGGTTTTTCAGACCAAAATTTTGTATACATTTTTTACTTCCATGTGTGCTTCATGCCCTGCCCATCTAATCATCCTTAATTTGGTCACTTTATATTTGGTAAAGAGATCGAATTATGAATCCCTTTCTTATGCAGTTTTACCCAGCCTCCTGTTGCTTTCTTTCTCTCTGGGTCCACATATTCACTTTAGCATCTTTTTAAAACACCTTCAGTCTTTCCTCAAGATGGGAGAGCAGGTTTCACACCCATACAGAACAACAGGTAAAATTATAGTTTTGAATATTTTAACCTTACTTTTTGGATAGCACATGGAAAGACGAAAGATTCTGGACTAATTGGTACCAAGTATTCCCAGAATTTAATTTAATATAATAACCCCATAATTTCTTTGTGAATGTAATTTTATTTTGTTACTATCATTCCGAAATATATGAACTCATGACAGTTTTAAGGATTTGTTAGCTATATCTATAGTATGATTTTGTATTTAATTCTGGTGATGAGACATGAACAGGTACTTTGATATATCTGCATTTATTTGTAGACAGCTGTACTGACTGGTAATGTAAATACAGCTTTCTATGTTTTTTGTTATGGCATTTCCCTGATAAATTAATGTAATCTGCGTATTTAAATTCGCATACTATGGCGCTGCCTCCAGGACTTGAACTCCAAGTTTTAAGAATAGAGCACTGCGCACTGTGATATACTGCAACACATTACAGCTGGACCACATGTAAGCTGTGACATTAAAGATTAAATTCCAGTCTCTCCTCCTTTTCTTGGACCTTCCGAATTGCGTGCTCTAAAGATAGGTTGAAAAGCAGTGGTGATAAGGCATCTCCTTGTTTTAGGTCATCGCCCTTTTTGTAATTTGGTACTGTAATAGATTTTTTTCAATGCTGTGCCATTTCTTCCTTGTTCCAAATCACACTAATAAATTTGTCGATGTTCACATCTGCTTGGGTTGTTTCTACCAGGATTTTATCAGTACTTGGTGATTTATGGTTTTTTAGCATTTCAGTAACAATATCAGTATCAGAAGAACTAGGTTCAGGTGCTAATCGCTCAGCTGTTTGAATTTCACTCTGCCTAACACTGTTAATCCTATGTGAATTTATGGTTGAAAAATGCAGTTCTTCCATGTGTTTTGCATATTGTGGAAATCTGCAAGCATATCAGCATTATCATCCTTTGTGAAGGTATTTCTTGGTTGATGATAACTCTTCACTCTTATACAGTCACTAATATTTTTATTATTACTTTCAGTCGAGCTCATTAGTTTTGTCTTCAGTTACTATCTCTCTTGTTTCCTCAGGTCCTGTTTGTTTCACATTTTGCATTGTTCAGATTATCTTACTTAATTGTGTTTGGATTCTGTGACCATCGCAGTTTAGCTTGATTTGTTTGATCTAACTAGACTGGGCAGGTATAATCCATATCAGAATATACAGAGATACCACACACGTTCCTTGCAGAGTTTGATGTAAAAAATGCCATATCATTCATACATTATGCATGCTTTACCACAAGTATCATCTATGTAAGTGTAGCAAGAGATTGTAGGCAATATAAAAACATACATGCACGTCTTCAACATAAGATTTATTAATTATGTTTTACCTACTTCTTACTTAAAAGAAATTGGCAGATTGCAATTTAATGTACAGGTAGCCCTCGATTTGCGCCGATTCAGAATAACACCGATTTTGAAACCAGAAAGTCAAAAATGAAAAAAATATATTTTACTATTATTTATAACGTTTTACAATGTTTCTCGTACTGCTTCTTATACTAAACTGTAATTTTTACATCGCTGATTTTGAATAACAATTATAAATACAGTCATCTCTGCAATTATGTATGTTTCGTTGATGCGAATTTGCTCCAATGATGTAAGAAGACTAGCGCAAGAAGTGGGCTTGGACGAAGTGTCAGATGAAGATGTAACAGAACTTTGGAAAGCATGGGCAGCCTCTTTCCAATGAAAACTTAGAAGAATTGGCCGCACAACTGGGCCAAAAGGAAGAGGAGGAAAGAACGGAAGAAGAACTTCCTCTACGAGAAATGAAGACAAGATCTCCAGCGCATCCTCTCAGACATAGATAAACTCACTGATGAGCTCTGCGAGATAGACCACGACTGGGAGCGGAGTGCTACAGGGAAGAGGAGCATTATGGCATCCATGAGGCCTTATCATGAAATTTTGAAAGAAAGAAAGAAAGAAAGAAGAAATCACGACAGTCCACACTACATGCCTTCTTTAAAAAACATGACAATCCTCAACCAGGGACTTCAAACAGAACTTAACACCGCTTCATCACGCCATCACCGATTGTAAGTGTATAAAATATATTTTTTAAATTCCCTTTATTTTATTTACATTATTTCAGAGCTTTAAATGTAACGCCATTATATTAGTCATCAATGTTTGGGTGCTGGGAACGCATGTCATTGACTTCCCATTGATTTGCATTATAAAAGAGTTTCAATTTACGCCGATTCCGTTTACTTCGGTTCGTCCAGGAACGCATCCCCGGCGTAAATCGAGGGCTACCTGTATTAATTTTTTGCTTATCATGAGCTTACAAAGATCAGTCACATTAAATGGCATTTGTATTTTTATCTGCGTAGAAGTTTGTCAATATCAAGTCGTGTGAAAATCTGTTATCATAATCATGTTTCATCATACCCATCCAACAGTTCTCAAGTTGATTCATGTGGACAGATGGAGATGGTTAGCCCTGTATGCATTCGTTTTACAGACATCACGCAAAGAATGCGGAATAGTGTTGACCATGGTTTTTGCCACTTTTATTTGTAACTCCCCAGATTTTACCGTATGAATCACGAGTCCCTGTGCACCTTTAAGAACATACTTGGTGAACAATTTGGCGCAACTGGTTAAAGGAAGGTAGTGGTTAAGGTCACAGTCACGTGACACCCATATCTAGGGTATGCGGGTTCACAGGGACTTTTGAATCATCCTACATTTGACTGATTTGGCACAACTGGTTAAAAGAAGGGAGTGGTTAAGGTCACAGTCACATGACACCCACACCTAGGGTATGCGGGTACACAGTGACTTTTGAATCATCCTACATTTGACTGAGGTTTTTATATTGTAATGCTTTCCCAAGCCCTGCCGAAGGTTGCGCCAACATTAAGATTTTCCGAAGGAAGCTTGATTGAAATTTTAATCTGATATGATTCACTAACATTTATATTATTAGCTTCTTTAGATTAAATGTCTGCATACAAAAGTAATGCATTGCTCATTTACATACTGAAGATATGTCCTTAACTCCAGCAGTTAGTGGAGAGTGTGACGCTCAGCTCCTTTAAAAAAAACTGGATATTGTGTCTATGGAGACTTGATCAACCTAATTTTTATGTCTACCCTTTATGGTTCAACAATTCTGTTATGTTTCAAAGCACTTCTGTAGAGTAGTATCAGAATCTTCTTTGTTACACCTGCATGTAATACCATCAGGTTTGGTATATGTTATTTGCACTTTTGTAATCAGATTATTATAAATCATGTATGTAGGCATGGCTTGATAGTACAGTTTCTGGCAAGAAACTGATATATTCCACGTCTGTTAATAACAAGTGGCAAGGGAATCAGGAGGTTGAAGACGAGTGGCAGGTAAGGAAGCATATACCATCCAAACTATAAACATAATTTCCCAGTAGCAATACTTTCTTAGCTCACTGTGTCAGTTCCTATGTTGATAATGTTTTTGGTTTACCTGTTACCTGAAAGCAAGTGATGGAGTTGAAATGTACTGTATTGTGTGTCTACAGGATTTCTAGGAAGGGTACTGTACATATTTTAAGTTTTCTGTCTCAGATATGTAAGTGTGAATGTGTATATTATGAAACGTACATTATGTAGACCGTACAACACCGTAAAAGAAAATATTTACTAAACCATAACAGTGTTACAAATTGTGAATGCGCTGTTGGCGCCATGCATGTGGTCACCTTAGTCGATAGTTGATCAGGTGGAGGGACACATTTCTTGCAGTGGATTAAACTAAAATGAACTTAATATCTGATGTGTGGAGTCAGGTGTTTGCTTTCCTTGGCCTTGCTCTCCCATTGGTGTTTCTCTGGGCTGATGTCTCTCTGTATGACTTGGGCACATTGCTCAGTCAGTATAGTGATAAGACAGCTCTTCATCATAATGGCTCTAGGCCAACCCAGCTGCCTCGCCACTGGGTACAGGATTTTGTTTCCTGCAGAATAAAACTGGTCGGTGTGATGCTGACTGCTTTTGTCAGTATACACCAGATGTGGAGAAAATAAATTTGGCTGGGTCTTTCAGCAATACTGTTGGAAAAAACTTGGTCTTTTGGAAAATATAGTGGCTGGTGATGATACATGAGTCTTCTAACACAACTCAGGAACAAAGTACCAAAATCTCTAATGGAAAAGCCCAGAGTCATAAGGGTGTTCCCCCCCACCCGAGAGAAAATGTCAAATTCGAAGGGAAAACCAATGATGACCTGATTTTTTTTATATCAATGAAATTCAGTTTTGGAATATTTATGGCAGAATGTTTGTTGAAAGTTATGATGTCTTTGGCCAAACAAATAGATTTTGAATCGATTTTAGCAGATCCTATTTTTGGAATATCAATGGTACTCGATTGTTTTGGCCGTATTGCGATGTTCCTTATTTCAGAATAATCTAATTTCTTGTCACTAGAAGAGATCCAGATAAGTGTGGTGATGGTGCTGAAAAGACTTACAGAAAATTATTTTCTGTAATGTTTTCAGGAATGGCAGAGATATTTATATGTGTCTGTATAATCAGAAAGCTTGTTCTTTGGAGGATGGTGACTTCATTCTGGTTATTTTATTTGCCGAATTGAGGTATTTTAACTCATTTCCATTTCGGATGGTGACTGCCATTCTCTGTTACTCATATTAGATGTATATAACATGAAATGTTTGTTACAGGTTATTTATTACGAATCAAAATTAAAAATTTTCTTCACTGTTACTAAAGTGTAGCAGCAGTAATGAGCCTGTCCCCAGAATTTTGCATGAATGTACCTTTTGCTGATTGATCTGCTGTCAGTGTCAGCTAGTAGTACAGAGGTTTTAGCAGTATTAAAAATACTGCAGGATTTTGTTAGCATCTTGTGATCCCACTTATACAGTTTATGAAGATTTCTGACTTCTGGGTTGTTGCGCTTTGTAATCTGGTTGATGTTAACCAATGTTTCAGAGGTCATACTGCCTCCGTCATCAGGGCGATGA